ACGTTGCATGCGGGCACCGGGCTGCCACCCTGCACCCATCACCATGTGCTGTTCCTAGGTGACAATCGAAAATAAAAAACTTACTCTAACAGTAGTGTTTGTTTGTCTGTTTGTTTGGTTTTTAAAGCAAGCCACAGGGAAGAAGTGGTCACTCACTCAGGCGTCCTGCCGCCCCGGGCAGGGGCAGGCTGGGCTCCCTTGGAGCTGGGAAACTCGTCCCTGACTTAAGCAGTGCCAAGGCCTGGGTGGCCGTGCTGCGCCCTGGGACAGGCTGCTGACAGCTCGAGAGGCTTCGTGTGGTCACCCAGGACGGGTCTTCCCAGCCCCTCCCAGCCTGTTTCATGGCCACATTTCCAGGCTCGTGGTAGACGGCGGGGCCTCCTTGGTGTCTTCACAGAGGATCCGTGGATCCGTGATGGGGAAACCCCTGTCATTTGCTCTGCCCTGGTCCCTTGGGGTGGTCTGATGCCCAACACTGTGGACAAGAACCCCCAGAGAAGGGTGAGCCCAGGCCCAGCCAGCAGTCAGCGCCCAGGGACTGCCGGCCTCAGGGAGGGTGGTCAGGGTGCTCCCATGGCTGAGGATGGGCAGCCAAGGTGGTCACATGACATCCGTGGGCGAGGGGCTGCCCTGGGGAGCACGCACAGTGCCCAGGGCCTGTATCAGGTTGCCATGGTGGTCACAGCTCTTGTGCTGCCCAGGGCCGGGTACCACATGCCCACTCCTACCTGGTCCTCCCACGAGGCCTCACAACACCCAATCCTACAAGTAGGAGGACGAGCTGGGAGGAATGGGGCGCCTGACCCGCACGCCTGACCCTGCCCCCTGGGTCGGGCGGCAGCACAGTGGCCGACAGAGGAGCGGGCTGAAGGCCGCCAGCCCGGGCAGCCAGGGCCCAAAGCTGGGGAATCCTGCAGCCTGGGGCTGGGATGAGTCCCCTCTGATGCTCAGCAACTGTGTCACCACCTTTCTGTGCCTCGATTTCCTCCTCTGTGAAAGGGCTGTCATTCAGAAGCCGCCAGTTTCAAGGACCAGGGGACCCAGACCACGGACGGCTCCTGTTCTCCTGAAACACACTGATTTGTTTCTAATGTTAGTGAGTGGAGTGTCCAAACTTCTAGGAGGCAAACACCTTGTCAGAAGGGCTGTGCTTCAACAAATGTGCCTGTGGCCTTCCAGTCCAGGAGCATCACCAGTGACCTCAGGTCTGGACCCTGTCCAGGTCAGGTCCTCTACTAGAGGTCAGCACAATTTGGTTTCAGAGAAAATGAGCCCTGACTGTTAATATGGCATTTCCCAGATGCATCTGCAGGGGACAGCAGTCACATGACTCAGTGCCGGCCAGTGAGAGGGGTTCATGGATGTCCCTTCCTTCTCCTTTCTGTCTCCTCTAGGCGCCCCCACTGAGCAGAACCCTGCCTGGACACACACCTGCCCTCTCTGAAACTATGGGCTGCTATTGCTCCTGCCATCACACCCACTGCCCCTCAAACTCACCAGCCCATGCATCTACTCAGTAAATAATTGTTTAGCAAAACAGTAAGAAGCCAGTTAAGAAGGTTTGGTCCTTCATCCTCCCAGCCCTACACGGTCACCCTACAGTCTGTGGCCTGGGAATTCCACTCAGCCTCCCTGGGACTCAGTTTCCTCAGTTGTCAAGCAGGAATACTGACAACGTCCCCTCAATGAGGTGCCGGGAGCTGCTGAGAGTCAAGCAGGGTCCTACTTGATCTGGAAGGTTGCAGGACACCTTGATGTCGGACAAGGGATAGGTCGACTGGAAAATTCAAAACTAAGGAACCCAAATAACTGAGTGTCCAAGAGGCGACTCCGGAGAAGGGGTCAGCAGGGCACCAGGCAGAGTCGGATGGCTGCACAGCAGCAGGGCCAGGGCCCAGCGCTGGCCTGGCCGGGCCAGGTGTCCACGCGGGAACAGCCGGTGCCCTGAGAACCAGGGATACGGAGTTTCTCCCGGGGCTGTCCAGTGCTCCATAGCAGGACCAGCAAGTCCTGGAGGAGCCAGGGGGAGCCGCGTGGCACCTTCCCAGGGGACGCTGGGCGGAGAGCTGGGCAGGACGCAAGGCCTGGACGCTGTTTGCTGGGGACACCAGCGGCCCTGCTCCTCTGTGCAGCCCAGACACCTTAGCACCCCCAAGATCCCTGGTTTTCCCGGGTGCTTCCGAGAGGATCTGGGCTTCCGGCTGCTGCGACCACAGGGCCAGCAAGGCCTGGGGGCACCGTCCGATCTTGCGGTCCTCTGGTCCTGGTGTCTTCTCCAGGACCCTGACTGTGCTCCCCGCTGCAGCAGGGAGGTGAATGGCAGCCCCAGCTCCACACCCGCAGGCCAGGTGTGAATTTCTTAAAAGAAAAAAAACAGGCCGTGGGAAGGAACAGACATGAGACCTCAACAGGGAAGAGCACGGCCTCCCAGTCCCAGCCGCCCCAGAGCTTGCGTGCGAGGCCGGTGCCGTCCACCTCTTGCCCTTCCATGGGAGAGGCCAGGGTCCCCCGGGGGCCGTGTCCGTGTCCAGCCGGAGGCCCGTCCGCTCGACTGAAAAATGGAAACATCACAGATATTGCAGCCGGAGTCAGTGGAACAGGCCGAGCGAGTTCATTTCTGCAAAGAATCTTGCCCCGACCCGCTGAGTCACACACAGCAAGTCCTCCTGCCTCGCTGGCTTCTGAAAGCTGAAATATTTTCAGCTAAATGAGAAAATGCTCGCTGCTGGACGGCCCACGAGAGCTGTCACAAGTGTGATTTCTGGAAATAAACAAGAGCCAGAGAAGGCCGGCCAGGGCAGAAACATAAGTCAGCGCTAATAGGGGCATAATTAAATTAGCCCTTAAGCAGAGGTGCCAAGCGACACATATTTTTCTCCTGTTAATTCTAATATGACCACCGCCGCACGACAGCACAAATTTGCACGACTCTCTCGCCAGAACTGCTAATTTTATGTTCTGCCCTTGTACATATCAAATAGCTCCCTCTGCTCTAGCAAACCAAGGTACCGGGGACATAGAAATTCATATTTTCCCCCTATCGTTTAACAGAGTTTTGCTCCGTACAAACTGGTTCAATAAACAATGTTTATTTTTTATAGGTTAGTATCTCGCAGGAGAAAATGAGATTTAAGTTTTGGGAAGATTTATTTACATTCTAACATGTTTGCTGGGCTCTGCCACTCAATACTTCAATGACTTTCTTCCCAAAGGGCAAAAATCTTTAAAGCAGAACAGAATTTATTTAAACAGCTGGTTTTTTGCACAAGCATTTTTATTAATACGTAGACTTGAATTATGAATCGTGGATACCTGACGTGTACAATTTGTAAACACAGACAGGTACCAAAGCTGGCCTGTTGGGCAGTGAAATTCGCAAAGACCACTACAAGATTAATTACTGCCAGGTTTGCTGAAGTCACGGGCCAGGCTACATTTGCATATTAAATACATCTTTAAGCGCTACTTAAAATGGGAGTCAAATGACTAATTCTGATCTTTTTTTTTCCCAAGGAAAAATGATAACATTATGCTTAGGCCGAGAAATAAATCTTTCTGTTACTGCTCAATCCTCAGTTATTTAAAGTGCACACCCCTCCTTCGCATGGAGGCGTGCATACTACTTTTTGTATTAAGAACAATGTGACAAGTTATTAAAAACACACAGATGAATCAGGTTGTCTCAATGTAACCCTCCAAAAGTGCCTTAAAACCCTCTTAACGTAAACATTAAATATGCTGAAGAATGCTGTTGTAGTTATGTCTTCAGGATTCTGTCTGGAAAGACACAAAGGCAGGAGAACATTAGTTTTTGAAATAAAGTGTACAGCGCCCCACGGGAAAGACAGGAGGACCTGGGGTCTCTGTGAGTGACAGTGTCTGACAGCCCCGACGCCAGCCTTCACTTTCCAGGGGCCGCTGAGGCGCTGAGACCCGGCGGGGGCACCTGCACCCCAGCCCGGAGCAGAGAGACAGCTTCGAGAAGTGACCACACCATCCGCCGTGTCCACCCCTGTCTGGCTTCACGCCTTGATTTTCAGGCACAAAAAACCCCTGCCATCCCCACCCCTCGCCACTGCTATTGGAGAAAAAGAAGCAAACATTTCTTAAAGCATGATTGGGCCACCAAGAAGGATCTAAGTCGCTCCTGTGGCCCCCACTTCCACCCCAGACATCTCAGGGACACACAGCTCTGGACTCGAGCTGGCTGGCCGCTGTCTCAGCCCATCACAGAGGGGACGCCTGGTAACTGACACTTGGCTTCAATACTTTAAATACCCTTCCAGGGCCTGGCACAGGGCTCACGCGGCGTGGAAGGGGTTTCTCTGCCTTTGCATAGCGCCGGGAGAAGAGATGGGGGCCAGGATGGTCTGGGGTGAAAGCCAGTCTGTCCTCCCCGTCCCCGCCCCCACCCCAGGGCGACTCCAGAAGTCACAGCGCCATCTACCGGGCAGCAGGAAGGTGGCGGGCGCAGGAGGAGGCTCAGGACACCTCGGGGGCTGCCACACACTTGGAGGGACAGAGTCACAGCAAGAAACATCACTCTAATTAAAAGCACGGGGAAGCAGAAGCAACCTCTGCCTTGCACGTTTCTGGCCTCTACTAATTGTAAAAACTTTCTCTAGTCTATTGCTGGGCCCCTCCGAGCCCCCTGGGAGAGAATTTTCCTTTTTAAAGTAAGGAAACTATGCTTGTCAGTTTTCAAGGATTTCCTAGCAGCTGTACGTTGCTGGATGGAAGCTGGTTTCTCCGGCCACCTCAGCTTCCACCGCTCTCCCGTGTGCTTCCTGGGGCTGGGGCAGGGGGCACACGCACACACAGACACGCACGCACAGACACGTACACACACACACGTGCGCACACACACACACCCTGCTCCTTGGCACGGAGCTCTGTAATTCCCCCCGGACCCGAACAAGGGTTCCAGAACACAGAGCGCCAAACTAGGATAACCCAAATATTATTCTAAATGCTTTTTTCAGACACTTAAGCAAAATAACTTTCATTTTTTGAAGTTTATATAACTTCTCTTTAGGAATATAATCAAGCTCCGATTTACATATGCCTGAGGTTGATCTCTGGATTTTCTTACACAAATAACCGCCCCGTCGCCCTGGTCTCCCCGCGGCTAACACGGCTGGGTTGTTTTCAGATGTGCACACCAAGTCTTTTCTCTTCGGAGCGAAAGGCAGGGGGTTCTTGTCCCGAGAAGGTGCGATCCTTTGCAGTGTCCCGTGTTAGCCGCACAGCTCGGCGGAGAGGATCAGCTGCGGCCCGGAACATTCCCGTGCGTCCATGTGCAGCTCTCCCTCGGTCTCGACAAGACGGTCAGAAGATTTTCAAAAATAGGCAACACTTACATCTACAAACAAAAATTACCATTAAATGTATTATCACAATTCACCTATTTTTAAAGATTTTTTAGTGACTCTTATTTCTCTTCACTATGAATCATTTTTAAAAAACAATCGTGTCCTCGGAGCCCGAAGCCTGGCCTGCTGTTGTGTAACTATTACAAATTACTTCACTGCGTGTGCGTGTGTGTGCACCGAACTGTTTGCATTTTGTAACTTAATTTCCCACTCAATAGAGTTTGAAAGATCTGGACATTATAAAGGCAAACTCATTTTCTGCTGGATGAAATGAGAAAATGAAAAATTGAAAAATTCATTTTATTAGGGAAATTCAGTGGGGACCGGTCGTTAGCCCTGAAATAAGCCAGGCCGCCCTGTTTACCTTCTGCATCGTTCGCAGGCTTACTGATGAGAAGAGCAGCCCCCCTCCAGCTGATGTTTGTGCAGAAACTCTAGAGTCTGCTTCCCCAGGGCTGGGGCTGGGACCGGGCTGGAGAGCGGGGAGCCCCGACAGCCGGCCAGGAGCCCAGAAGGGGTGCAGGCCGGGCGGGGGCAGAGGGTCGGGCCCTGGGAGAGCCGGGCACTCACAGTGGCGCGTCCATGGTGTCTTCTGGTCCTGACTCCAAAGGGAAGGTGTAGAACCAGCACAAATATCCAGGAAGTTGGCCGGGTCGCTAACTAAACAGTCAGTGATGAAAGCACCACAAAATAAAACACCGAATGTGGGGCTTTCCATAAGGGAAAAGCAAGCCCTGGAAGACAGGAGGGCAGCACTGGCAGCCTGACTCCTGCGACCCGGCCCCGGCTCCAGCATAGAGGCTCCTGGCCGGACTGCCCGGTTGGGCTGACTGCAGACCAGGATCCCGCCTGGAACGCCCCAGCTCCTGCCGCAGAGCCAAACTGAGCTTCCCTGCAGAAAGGCACCGGGACGCGGCCACCCCTCCCCGGCAGGCCTGCAGGGACAGGAAATGTTAACCATTTTAAGCACTTTTTATTTGCATTTGCTCTGCGCCACCGCCACCGAGGGAGTCGGGAGAAATGTGCTTTTAATGATCGCGCCTAAAATGAAGATGGATGGATGGCGGCTGCGTCGGATGAGGTGTCCCCCGGAGGGAGCCGCGGTGGCATCTGCGCCCCGGGGGGAGCCCTGGGACAGGAACGACGTCGCTCCGGGTTCCCACAGAAGGAAAGAGAACACCAATCTGCCTGTGGCAGAGGAGCTCCATTTCAGATCCTCTCTCTGCTGGTCACATTTTGGCTGGTTACCTTAAGGAAAGCGCCAGGGTTTATGATGTGGAGAGAAAAAAAACAGAAAATAAAATAAAGGATTTCCCTCCAAATTAACGACACCCTGAAACACAGTGTTCTCCTTCAAAACCCATAGAGAATTTCTTAATTCCTCGCTCCGATCAAAAGCTGCGGGGAATTACATTTTTCTCGGTTCTGTTACCCTCTGCTTGGACCGATGCGGGTGAGTTTAAACAAACAGACGGTCAAGAAGGGGCTTCGTGCAGTCTGAGGATCTCAGGGTGACCCGGACCCCTGGGTGGGGGCAACGGCAGTGCGGGGAATAGTCAGAGAGAGGAGAGAAATCAATCTCCAGACCTGGGCGAAGCTAAGACAGTTGCCAGCCCATGGTGAGGGACACAGAAAGCCCGCTGCTCGCGGCCTCCCTGTTGAAATTCTTCTGCCGGAAAGATAAATGACCTACTTCATTCGAGAGTGTCAAGAAGAGAAAGCAAAACAAAAGCCCTTCAAAGTATATTTGCAGACTATAATCTCCTGTGCGCCGCCGGGCCCGGGACCCCGGAGGGAGAGGCGGCTCCCGGTGGAGACAGCAGGAGCCTCCATGCAGTACCCAAAGGTCCAGGGCTCGGGGCACCCTCCTGGGTAAGGGCCTCGGGGTGCAGGGCAGGCTGCCCCTCCACTGCCAACCAAGGCTCTGCACCTCACTCCACGCTGCTGCACAGGCCACAGAGGACATCCAGGGTGGCAATGCCGAGTGGCACCCAGGAGATCTGTGAGACAGGCAGTGCCAGCCAGGCAGAGGGTCAGTAGACAGAGGCCCGGGCACACCCCTGGAATCCCAGCGCTTGGGAGGCTGAGGCAGGAGGATCACAAGTTCCAGCCTAGCCTGCGTCAGAGACCCTGCAGAAGGAAAAAATCAGATTCATGGCTGCCGGAACCCCACAGCCCACCTCCACAGCGGCCTTTTGTTTGAAGGAAAATGACAGTGTCTCCAGGCCGTGCAAGGGCCATTGCCCTTGACCCCTGCACAGATTGCAGGAGAGACAGCCTTGCTCCCCCACAGTTGGAGGCACCCCATCCCCTCATCCCCGGGGATCCCACGGCCTCCCCGAGCCCGGCCAGGCAGGGCCAGGTGGATAAAAAGGCACTGGGGAACCCTCCCGTTTCCTCTCCCGTGGCGGTGGGTGGGAAGCTCCAAGCTGCCCCTGGGAGTAATTTCTCAGCGCTCATCTGTGTCCCGCAAAAGGACGGTTCACACAAGGCCCAGGACACTAACGGCAAAGGGGACACAACCAGGCTGCCGTGCAGAGCAATGTAGGAGGCCTCTGGCCGGGGAGGAACCCGGTCCAGCCACCAGCCTACTTGGGCAGCCTCCTGCAGCAGCCGCCCCGGTTCCCTGACCCCTGCGCTGGTGCCCGGCCTGGCATCTTGGTCACAGGGGATCTGGTTTTCAACTACACTGGGGCACACGTAGCCCCCACTTGACGTGAGTGGACCAGCAGCTGGCGAGGGAGAGGACCTAAGACCAGCAGAAAGGACGTGCTGGGAGGAGGCAGAGACGGGCGCTGCCCAGAGGCGGCTGACAGCCTCTCTTCCCCCTCGCTGGGCTCTCTGAAGTTCCAGAAAATAAACCAGAGGCGGCATAAATGTGTATGCAAAGAACGGAGAGACTGCACACCCACGGGAGGGCACACACACACACACACACACGCTCACATGTTTTATGTTAGAATTATTTATGTTAAACACCAGGCTACGTCTGGGGACTCTAGGTGGCTTTTCAGTCTTTTGTCCCCGACACCAGAGTGTCCCTCTGAATGTGAACCAGGCGTTTCCACGGCCCTGGCCAAGCCCAGTGTGACAGTGGGCACTTGCATCCCACCATCGCATGGTGACCAGGCTCAGGGTGGCAAGGGACAGGGCCGGCTGCAGGGAGCCACAGCCACGATGGGCCTCCCATAAATCCTGGAAGGTGACGGGCGAGCTGGCAGGAGGAGCTGGGAACCGGCACACGGAGGAGCCCCTTCTGCGAGGGCAGGCAAGATCCCGGGGCTCCCGTTAGTCACTTGATGAACTGGACTCGGGGCCCACTGCCCTCAGGGGCAGCCGGATGCTGAAAACAGTTTTATGAACCTAATAAAGCAAAGGAGGGGAACCCCAGGAAAATTGTAGCTCGGGGTATGAGCGAAGACCAGCGGGCTATATTTACAGAATCCGGGGAAAGCTCCCGCAGAGACCCTGGAGCCCGGTCCAGCCGCCGGCCAGCGGCCACCACTGAAGAAATCTCACAAGGCAGGCGTCCTCACGTCCTTCGCTTATATCCCGAGCTACCATTTTCCTGGGGCTCCCCTCCTTTGCCTCTTAGGGACGTGCTGGACACCAAGCCAAGCACGCGGGGAGGACAGCTCAGGAACCTCCTCCAGCTCCGCCTCACAGCAAGTGAGGGCGAATGGATCGGAGCACAGAACTCCAGAGCAGGCGGACCCGGCAGGCTGCGCACACAGCAGTACCGGCCGGACCTCCGCTTCGGAACCAGCCGGGCCTGCGCGCACCTACGTCCTGCACACAGAAGCTGTGCATGCTGCTGCCGTGTTCCGGCCTCGCTGTTTGTTTTCTTTGCAGCCCTGGAGCAAAGGCTGCTGGGCCGTGGTCCCAGGGAGCTGCAGGCCTTCCGGTCACGGCAGCCACCCACCCTCCTCGGTCCACCACCAAAAGTCCAGTCCCTCTCCAAGGCCACGCGCTGGCCACGCCCTCCAAGTAAGAACCCGGTTGCACCTTCCACGCATGCGCACTCCACTGTGATTCCTACAGGCTTCCTTGCTGAACCGGCTCCATCCGGTTGCAGTGGCCGACAACCGCTCACTCCCGCCCTCCCAGGGGTGGAGGCGATCGGGAGGTCCCCGAGGGTGCAGCGTTAGCTGTCCAACTCCTCAGTCCCTTATGCAGCCTTGAAAGTCAGGACAGCCCTTTTTTTTTTTTAAGCTGCCTTAAAATTCCATTGCTCAGGGAAGTTTGGGGGGGCGGGGAGGACCCTGTGGGCTCTGCAACCCGGGAACATGATGTCATCCGTCACCCACGCCCGCAGAAAGGCCCTGCACCAACAGCGAAGCCAGCCCGGGGCGAAGCACAGGCTCTGATTCATAACGCGGAGCCTGTGTCACTGGCGGACTGTGACAGATGTCCCACGCTCACACGGGTCGCTGATGGCAGTGAGCCTGCAGGAGGGGACGCAGCTCTGTGTCTGTTCAGGTTTTCTGTGACTCTGAAACTGCTCTAAAAATTCATCTCAATAAAAAGCTTCTTAGTTCAGGGAGAGGTGGCACATTCCCATAATCCCAGCACCTGGGGAGGCTGAGGCAGGAGGATCACTGTGAGTTGAGGCCAGCGTGGGTTATACAGGGAGCTCAAGGCCAGCCTGGACTGCACAGACGCTGTCTCGAAAAGACAAAAAAAAAAAAAAAAAAAAAAAACTCCTTAGTGGAGTGGTGTAAGGTTTTGCTTTGCATATTTTCTGCCTGGTTGGTATTTCCTGGGAAAGGATTTGTAGAAAGCAGAGCTCACATCTGAACAGGACAGGCTTGAGACACGTGGTTGTTTCTTTCCACAGCCTCATTCACAGTGGCCATTTGGCAGGGACCTACCCAGGGGACAGTGTCCAAGGCCAGCCAAGCAGGGAAGGTTGTGTGACGCCTTAGCTGTGGCCACAGCCATAACAGCCGACGTCCTTAGGCAGCATCCCCAGCATTCTGTCCTGCTGATGTCCACGGTCCTGACTGACCCTGAAGAGTCTCACTTGGCCCTCCCAGCCTGCCACCACATTAGAGGGTCACGCTCCCACCCGCTGAGGCCACCACCCCACTTCAAGCCAGCCAGACAGACAGACAACTGGAGATACAGAGGCCAAGAATGACGGAGGGGGTGGAGACTGGGGAGCAGGGAGGCTGCTGTTTCCTGTGTGGCCCAGGTGGCACCACCTGGTGACAGTGGGAAGTCACAGAGCCATCCCAGGCCCCGGGATGCGTGCCGTAAGGTGTGGCCGAGGTCTGGGTGCGGCGCACGTGGGAGACCCTGCGGCTGGACAGCTGTCCTGGGTTCCATCAGACACCACGCTGGCTCATGGTAGATCTGGGGACCCCAGGACAGAGGGAGCCCCTGGGCAGCTGGCTGTCATACAGGACCACCAGGGAAGGGGCACAAGTTGCTCCCAGCCCCAGATAGGAGCCCGGAGGCTGCCACCTCCTCTGAGCAGAGCTTCAGCCTCGCTGGGCCTGCATGGAACCGCGTGGGTTGTCAGTCGCATCCCAGAGGCAAAGCTGTCATAGAGAGCCTGCTGCAAGGCTGGGAGTGGGCACTGTCGGCCAGCTCCAGGAGGTGGGCTGGAGACCACGGGGCCTGGGCCATGGAACCTTCCTCACGCCCCACTGTGGTTGCTGCCTGGACGGAGCCACAGACCTGCCTACGGTGCCCCTGGCTGGGCAGCCTTGAAATTGGCACTAGGCTAGCTCGGGCCATCAACCACAGCTGCTGACCACACCCTCCCGACACTGCCCCGAAGGGGGCACCGTCAGAACCCCACTCAGATGCCCAAGCCAAGGCGAGGCAGCAAGGGATTCGCCGAGCTATACGGCCCACAGCAGCAGAGCTGGAGCTCAAACCCACACTTGGCTATAGGCTGTCACTGCCTGGTCAGCTCAGGGCCACGGGGTGGATGCCTCCGGCTCAGGCTGCCAGTGACAGCCTGGAGCTGCAGGAGACAAACTCCACTCCAATCAGGGCTCCCCCAAACCACCAGGACACAGAGCACAGGAAGACTTCTGTGGGAGGGGGCACGGCCAGCAGGCCCAAGTCACGCGTGGCCTCCCACAGGGGCCCTGGGCTCTCCACGTCCCACTCCCCATGTCCTCTCTGCACCTCCCAGGCCACAAGCTCGGTGCCAGCCGGGTCAGCATGTGGGCTCTGCAGGGCACCCACCGCAGGGCACCGGTCACCCTGGAGCATAGATACCGGCCAGCTCCTCGATCTTCCTGTGCTGCAAAGTCTAGCAAGCCTGTGACGCTGCCGCCTCACGCAGAGGCCCAAGAGTGAGGAGAGACGTCTGTGCACAGCAGGCCTGGTGGGGCCAGGCCACTAGAACCTTCCTTCAGGACCGCAAGTGGCAGCTTCCGAGCTGGGGACACTTGTTAGACCCAGAAGCCACAAATCCCACTTTCCAACTGTTAAAAAAGCTGCTGGTGCTGAAGATTAGCAGAAGACTCAGCTCAGAGTTCATAAACTGGGTGTGGTGGTGCGCACCCATCATCCCAGCCTCGGGAGGCTGAGGCAGGAGGACTGAGTCAAGTTGGAGGCCAGCCTGGGCTACCTCGTGAGACCCTGTCTCTCCACCCCCACCCCAAAACAGAAGTTTATGTAAAGTAATAAAGACTGCACGGTTGTAATAACTAGAGCAGAGAGATAAACAGAGGTCAGAACAGCCGTGGGTCACACCCGCGGCTCCTCAAGTCAGTGCCGCGTTTAGAAAGCTCCTGCAGAGCCGGGATGGCAGGAACACTGCGGAACACACAGCTCCCACTCCAGAAGGAGAAAGCCCGGAAAGGGGAACTGAAAACAAGCAGATGGGTCCCCACGCACGCGATCGAAAGGGTCTCTCCTGCAAGAGGTCAGAAAGCAAAATGAAACTGCAAATCGATGGCTGAAAAGTCACCCCGATGTAGGTGCCAAGCCAAACTCTGCCCTGTGTGCAGACGCTCACGGAGCCAGGAATGTACAGCGGGCAGGCGGGCGAGGCTGGGGGCACCCAGGAAGCCTCGCCCCTGCATCGTCAACAAAGGTGCTCACCACTCACACAGCCTTCCTGGTGAGCAGTCTGACGATGCGTTTCACAAGTTTTACAAGCACAGCCCCGCACTCTCTGTCCCTTTGCTGAGTTATCTTGGGGAAGAAAGGCAAGAATCAGGGTCTTTAACAAGCAATCTCTGTAACAATAAAAACAGAAGCAACTTAGATGCAGGCGGTACGTGATGACATTGGTTAAATCTACATAGTAGAAGGTTCTGCCAATGTTAAAATCACGTAATTTAAAGATACTTAAAGATCAACAAATATTCACCATCTAGTTGGCAAAAAAAAAAAGTGTTACAAAACAGGACACAGAAGCTGGGCACGGCGGCGCACGGTGGCGCACGCCTGTCATCCCAGCGCTCAGGAGGCTGAGGCAGGAGGACTGTGGCGAGTTCTAGACGAGCCTGGGCTACGAAGTGCACTGAAGGCCAGCCTGGACTGAGACCACTCAAAAAGACGACCACTACCACAACAAGAAAAAAAGACAGACACAGTCTGTCTATATTTTATAAAATATAGAAACAAAATACTATGTAGGTTTGAACAAAACCTGTGTGTTTTCTAAATGCTCTACAGCAATCATATAATAATTTAATACTATGAATCTATAATTTAAAACCTGCACACCATTTTCTTTAGTAATTCTTCTGGGACTTATGTATATGAGCAACTATAATACATTTATTAAATTTTTAATATATTACAAATAGCATTTAAATACTATTAATAATTACTAACCAATATTAGCCAGAATTATATTAATAAATATTCACCAGTACAATTTTTCTGAAATAATGTACAGTTGTGATAATAAATATTTATTTAAATTATAGAAAATATATTATATATATTTGTAAATATTTTTAGTCAGTATGAAAGATTTGTGCATAAATACATGCATTTTATTACTACCTATGATAAAAATTCAAGGTGAGCTTAGCAGAAGTGACCCTGTAAGTTTCCTTTTGTTGCTGTTGTTTGGTTTTTCGAGACAGGGTCTCACTTTGTAGCCCGGCTGGTCTTGAACTGGCAGCGATGCTCCTGCCTCCGCTTCCCGAGTGCTGGGATGACAGGCATGCAGAAGGCATGGGGTGGCCCAGGGCTTGCACAGAATCCAACAGGAGACTCACCGCCCCTCGGCCTGTTTTGGCAACAAGATCACCGATAACCCTTTCGATCCATAATGTTTAGTGTTTCAACTACTTCAAAAAATAAACAGAGGAAATCTGGAGAAGTTGAAGAATAGAAACAAGAGGAAAGAGAAGTGTCTCTCCCCCTGGACGCTGCTGACCTCCGCTGCAGCAAAGACCAGAACCACCAGCGGCGTCCAGGCCACTGCTCCAGGACCGGCACTGAGGAGTCGGGCAGCTAGATCCAGGCCAAGGACAGGGACATCGGCCCAGGCGCTGTCACCCTTCCCTGTGCCGGCGTTTAGGGTACACCGCACAGCTGTCTCCCCCAGACAGGAAGAGTGGTACGATCAGCGCCTCTGACACTCAAGTAGCCTGCACCCCTGACCATTGAGGGGAGAGAGGCCGCCCGGCCACATGGCACAGGGGCCGGCTGTGCAGGCTGCTACTCCTCACCGCAGCCGAGCAGCTGGACACAGAGCGAGCAGCAGAGGTGACACTGGGATCCCCTGCGTCACACATCAGTGGGCCACTGAGCCACGCGGTTAGACCCACAGGACAGAGAAGCCATAACAACAAACAAAAGCAAAAAAACTATTGAAAGAGAATCCACAAATGGAAAACCAGGGCCCAGAAAGAGAGGACTCGACCTCAGCGAACTCAAACCTTAATTCCCGTAGGGCAGAAGTGAAACCTTCAGTCCCTGGCTGAGCGTGGACTGGACCTTGAAAAGACACGGTCCCAGGAGGCAGGGCAGCAGCTCTGCCCCCGGCAGATGTGCACAGCCAGGCGCTGGCCCCACAGAGCTGAGCCTCACACAAAGGAGCCGCACTGAGTTGGGGTGCCTCCAGCCCAGGAGGGTATTTTCCTCTCACCAGAGAGTCTCCCTCTCTCCAAGCTATCAGCCACGTTTCCGTGAGCACCCAAGACACCGCTCCCCAGCCCAGTGCTCCCACGATTCTCCTAGAAGCAAGCCCACCCTCACACTCCCCAGTCGCAGGGTCTCCGAGGTTTCAGCCCTTCCTGCCCTGGGCCCTGGGGTGCGGCTGAGCCCCCCTCCTACCCTTCTGACTCTGGGCCCTCACTTCCGGGGTGCTGCCTCATCCACTGACTGCCAGCAGCTTGCCCTTCCACGCTCTGGGCCACGCTCCGCGGGGGCCACCCCGCAAGGGAGATGCCAGGGCTACCCATCGCATGTCACAGGCACCCGTGATTGATTCCCCTGGCTGGCCATGTAGGCTCTTGGGGGTTCCAGGGCTCCACCACCTAGAGAACCCTGCAAGTGTGCCTCTGACATGTTACTGCATGTGAAGTAGAGGTCCCCAGGGCCCTGGCTGCGTGGGACCAAGGATTCTGGACGGGGATTATAGCTGGAGGCTCAGAGCTGGCTTGGGGTCAGGAGGCTTGGCCAACGAAGCCACCCGCTGTGGGCGGGGCCTGGAGGTGAGGTCTCCACCGGCTCCTCCCCCTATTTCCTGTCCACTGAGTCCCTCCACCGTGCTGCCCTGGCGTGGAGCCCGCTGACCACGGGCTGAAACTCTACAAACCGCGAGCCAAAATCAGCCTTTCCTCCTTCAAGTTGCAATCTTCATTCAGCAGACACTGCTTCCTCTTCCTCCCTGCGGCTCCGTGCAGGCCAAGGCCCTGGGCAGCCTGCAGCCTGGGCCCTGTCCAGCCACATTTGGGTCAGCACCTTCCCACCACACTGTGTCTCCTGGGCTGCAGGCCGTGCAGAGCAATGAGCCCATTCTTCCACGCCACGACATGCATGCTGGTGATGAGCAGGACCAGCCTTCCCTGCCCTCAGAGACCTCTGTCTGGAGGGGTGCAGCGTCACAAAGCATCACGGGAGAGCAGCGTCACAGCCGTGCTGCATGCTGGACCCTGGAGGGAAGCCTTCTGCCCCGGAGCACCATGGGAGCCACTAGCAAAAGCTGAGGGGGTCTGCCGCTGAGGCCTCTCGATGTCTGGTTGAGCACAGTGATGTCAGATCACAGATGGCCTGGGAAGCAGCTGATTGGGCTAAGGAAGCAGAAAGCAGATTATAGCTGGCGGAAGACGAAGCAGCAGACAGGAGGAGGCAGACAGCTTGGCAGGCAGCACCCCGAGGTCCAGTACGGCAGGGGTGGGGCCGGGTGCAGGCAGAGGAGCACCCGTCTCTCTTAGGCGGGAAAATCAATCACAGGTACGCATCTGTGTACAAACCTAGCAGCTGCCTCGGCAGGGTGTGTGCTGACGTCATTTGATCGTGGCTCACCTTGGAGTAGCCCTGCACAGTTCCCACTTAGCCAAGGTCTGACATAGGTCCCCGGTTCTCCCCCGTCACGGTCCTTGCTGTCATCTTGTAGGACATTCACGTGTGGCACGGTCACTGCTGTCGTGTTTTCAGAGCAAGGAAATGTAAGGAGTTGTTTATCTTCCCTCGTACCACGGTCAGCCTGGCAGCCGTGTGCGCGGCCCCCAGACTCCGGCTGCCTCCCGCCGCCCTCCACCTGAGGGCTCCTGGCGGAGGTCTGGGGGTGTGTCCACCTGGGAGCTCCTGGGGGAGGTCTGGTGGGGTATCCACCTGGGAGCTCCTGGAGGAGGTCTGGGGGTGTGTCCACCTGAGGGCTCCTGGCGGAGGTCTGGGGGTGTGTCCACCTGGGAGCTCCTGGGGGAGGTCTGGTGGGGTATCCACCTGGGAGCTCCTGGAGGAGGTCTGGGGGTGTGTCCAC